AACAGGGATATCTTTGGGGGTCATTATCCAGCCTACTATACCTACCTCGTCTTGTCAATCAATTTCTTTTCTTTTTTAAAGTCATGCTTATTGAGGTATAATTTACACAGAGTAAATTTCACCCATTTATAAAAGTGCACAGTGGCCTTGGCTGGTGTGGCTCAGTGGATTGAGTGCCAGCCTGCAATCCAAAGGGTCGCTGGTTTGATTCCCAATCAGGGCACGTGCCTGGGTTGTGGGCCAGGTTCCCAGTATGGGGCGCTTGTGAAGCAACCATACATTGATGTTTCTCTTCCTTTCTCCCTCCCTCCCTTCCCCTCTCTCTCTATAAAAAAAAAGTGTACAATGATGAGTTTTGATGGGAGCACACTGTTGAGTAACTACCACCACAATCAAGACACAGAACATTCTATGTCTATGTTCATGTGCCTCTTTGTAGGGATCTATTCCTGCGCCTACAATTTTGTCTTTTTTAGAATGTCATATAAATGGAATCATACAGTATGTAGTTTCTGTGTCTGGTTTCTTTCACTTAGCATGATGTTTTGGACATTAGCCCATGTCATTAATGCGTTTCTTTCTATTGCTGAATATGCCTCCATTTCTGTATCCGTTAACCAGTTAATAAGATTCCAGTTATTTTCTCTTTGGGGAAATTATGAATAAAGGTGTTTCAAATATTTGCTTGTACGTTTTTGTGTGGGCCTGTTTTCATTTCTTCTGAGTGAATCCCTAGGAGTAGAATTGATGGATTGTGTAATAACCACGTTTTTAGCATTTAAAGAAAGTATGTTTTAGCATTTAAAGAAAGTAGCTGCATGTATGATTTTGAATTCTTCCTAGCATGATATGAGAAAGTTCTGGTTCCTCTCTATCCTCACCAGCACTCAGTGTGGTCTTTCCTTTTACTGTCAGCAATCTCAGTGGGCATGTGGTAAGATTTTTTGTTTTAATTTGCATTTCCCTGATACTCAATGGCGTTGAACGTATTTTTATGCACTGATTAGCTATTTGGTGATCTTCTGGGGTGCCGTGTCTTTTAAGCTTCTTTTGCCCATTTTTAATTGGTTTATTGATCTTATTATTGAATCATCAAAGTTTTAATATAGTCTATATACAAATATTGCAGGGCGAATACTGCTCTTCATCTGTGGCTTATCTGTTCACTTATTATTATCATCAATTATGTTTTAAGTTGAAGATTGGGGTGAAAAAACACATCCAAAGTGGGTAATACAAAACTTTGGATAAGAGAGAGCTTTTAAAAAGTAAAACTAAATTAACATGCATACATTCTTAGAACTCAGCTTTGATCTTTGAATCAGTTACTTGAGAAAAAACGTCACCTGGATCCCAGACCCCTGGACTACTGTCTTCAATTTCCTGCTCTATGACCGAAAATGCCATTTCTTCAGCTGTGATTTTCAAGAGACACAAAACAGCATTTGCTATGCTCTCAACACTTGGCTGGGCGGCAACTGTGAAATGCTAATGGCGGTGCAGAGCTGCGTCAGTGACATTGGCAGGGTCTGAGGCTATACATATTGAAGCTGTTTATTTATTTTTGTTTAAGAAACAGACAGACAAGTTAATTTCACCTCCATTTGGGGCACAGAAAAGAATCGATGTTTGCCAAATAGAAAAACACAAAATTGGTAAAGGGAAAAAAATAGTATTTTCAAGCTTCTAGAATGGAATTAGAAATGGGGGGGGGTGGGGAGACGAGAGTTACCCAAATGACTAGAGCGTGTCCCTCCTGCAATTGCCTCGGCTTTCTACCTGAAATTCCTGCTTCTTGAGAGTTCCCTGGCTGAAGATTCTATCTCACTCTAAGAGCAGAGAGCAACTTCAGAATACCTGGCTGGCATTTTCAATGACTGGGCACTGTTTTAAAAACATTCTGTGACTTGAGATTTGGGGTGAATACTGAAAATTGGAAGGTACAAATTGCTTCCTGCTGGAAACACACCCTTGTTTGAAGAAGGTGTTACAGGGCACAGCCTTATTTTAACACCCTGAACCTCAACACCCTCTGGCCCCCAAGGGAGAAATGTGTAAGTAATGTTCTGAAAACCAGAACCCAAATCCCCGAGGTCAGGGCACCCAGATCAGAATGGCAGTGGGCTCGTCTGGGTGGGGGTGGGGAGAGCAGGACCAAGGCCTGCCCTCAGGCCCTTGCTGAAAAGGTGCCCCAAGAGGAAAGATATCAAACCATCTAATTCTGCCCTCCCGCCAGCCTGACAGGGACTTGGAATGCACAACTGGCCCAGAGCTGATTACCTTCAGGTACTGTTAGGTCGAGTTAAAAATTCCATTAGTGGTGCTCAGGCACTGGGAACAGGGGTTCATAGGGGTGGGCTTTTTCTAGTTAACAAGGGAGAAATGGCTTCTCATTTCACAGTTACTGCAGGGAGAGGACACCGGTTTGTTTACATTCTACAAAGGGGAAGTGCCTGGGCTCCACAGGCCGGTGGCGGAGGCGGGGAGTCGAAGAGGGAACAGGCTTTTCAGAGCAAAAGCAGGCTGTGCCCAAGCCATCGGGCCAGACATGAAACGCAGGGCCTCCTCAGAGCAACCTGGCACCGGGGGCCTGCCCAGCCGCAGCCGCCAGTCACCGCTCGTTTCTCAAATTGTTTTTCATTTTCTCATAATGACCCTCCTCCCTCAGCCTACACCAAACACTGAAATTTTGCCCTCTATTTACCAAGCTCCAAGGCGGGCAATAAAGGTGAGTGCTTTTGCTGCTCAAGCTTTTGCTTGCTTTTAATTTTACTCTAGAAGAAAATCAATTAGACCATCAGAGTCCCATCTTCCTTCTTTGAGGCTTTTGGGCTTGAATAGCTCAGAGAAGTACTTCCCCTGGCCTCGATATTTTAATAAATGCTTGACTGTAATGGTTTTAAAAGGAAAAATAAAGAAGAGAAGACATGCAGAGTCAACTCAGAACAAAACTAGGCATTTGAAAGGGCTCTTCAGGTTGAGCGGTCTCCCCACGTGGGCAGGGCAGCCTCCTGCATCGCTGACGTTGTCTCTGCACCAGGGCTCACATTCCCTGCTTTCCTGCTCATCTGCGCACTTACTCTGTTCATTAGCTGATAACGGGACATCCTGGCAGATCAAGAAACCAACAAAGCAGCCACTGGCTGCTGAGGGAACAGCTCTACCTGCCTCACAGTCATTGTCCTGGGCCTTCCCGGCAGCCCTCTCAGGCTCCCTGCCTGTGGCACCAGTTTAGACGAGCGTCTGGGGGTAGAGGAGAGAGAAGATCGGACCCCCAGACTCAGCACTGCGCAAGCACCTTGCGTGGGGGCTTCCCACTGACCTCACAGCCAGCCTGAGATCTGGGGACTTCTTTTTGGGATCTGACAGACACTGGCATGACGGTTTGCACGCTCAGCTCAACACTGGTCACTATGGGGATGAGGTGTCATGAAGGGTTGAAGTAGAGGGGCGCCGAGGTACAGGGGCAGAGAGCCACCCATGTGGACACCAAGGAAGCCCTGGGAAATGCCACATGGGGCGAAGTGCAGAGGACCTTGGTGCTGCCGACTTCAAAAACTCAACACACACGGCCAAGCATCTAAGGGATGTTCCCAGACAAGTCACTGTTTTTGTGTCTCACTCCCCCACTGAGATGTGACCTTGCAGACATGTCGGTGACTTTGTGGCCCTCGTTGCTGTCCATCTGGGCTAGAACACTCCTGTCTTGAGAAGGTCTTTGCTGCATGCTGCAAGGAAGGGAGAAGTGGCGATGGGAGAGCAGGAGGGGGCTCTGGGAATCCTGTCTGCTCCTGACCAGCTGCAAGTCGAGTTTTGAGGAGAGAATACCGAGCTGCATGCCTAGGTCTACAGAGGACGGGAGAGGATCCTCCAGGTCCGAGAGGGTGAAGGGTGGGTCAGGAGTGTGCGAGTTAGCCCCAGCCCAGCTAGCTTGCCTTCGACTTTGCTCCCAGCCCCCCGGAGACGTGGTGGGAAGCTCTCGGATGGCTCTTGGCCTTCTCTGCTGTGGTCCATCTCTCTCTGTGCCCTGCCCCCACCCGCATTGCAAAGCTGGTCTGTGCTGTGGTAAGGCAGAAGGGTCTTTATGTTTTTAGGTGGAAATGAGCACTGATGACCACCACAGATTGTCCGTACAGCAGACCACCTCTCAGCCAGGGTGGAGGAGCCCTCTCTCCACTGCCACATGCCTGGCCTTCCGTAACTAACGGTGGGGTCCCGCTAATGGTGGGGCCCTGCTGCCATCTATGCTTCCTTGGCTGTGACCCACACCTACCTGGATGTGGTGTGGGCTTTATGAAGATTGTTTTTGGTTTTCCTTTTCTTCTTGAATATGGTGCTTTTTGAATACTCAGGGTTACTGGCATAAAAGGTGCCACACTTTCTGTGGGACAACTGTCCTGAGTTAGAGCCCTGTAGGTGGCTCCTTTCCTTCCGTTGGACACCCCCATTTACATCACAGGCCCACCCCCACCCCAAGTAATTAACAGTCTACAATGTGCTCCTCTTTATCTGTGCAATTGTGGTCACAGACAGTCAGATTAAATGTCCTATCACCCAGCATTGATCAGATTAGCAACCTTGTGACTATTTATTAATTGCATTTTCTCAACTCAATACCAAGTGCATTGTTTGTGGCATAAAAAAGTAAATAGGAATAAGATATTTGTTACATTTTAAAGTGAACTCTCCACTATCTTTTCAAAACAGGGTACATAAGAGAATAGATAGGTTAATGCAATGTTAATTTTCCTGGAGCAAAATAGTTAAACTAGGAGATTTCCTGAGTCATTCAGTTTCTCTAGAAGGCCTTTTAAGGGTTCCAGTTTTTTCAGTGCTAGGAAACTCCTCTCTTCTTTGCTGTTTGGGGTGGTGGAGGTCCCTGGGATACCCTAGGCAAAAACACTTGAGGCCAAAGGGAAATGTGGTCATTTCTGTAAGTGACCAGAGAAATCTCAAGTATTGTCCAAGGATGACATCTGATAGGAAGAGGAAGAACTTACCACGGGCAGTGCCACTGGGGAGGCTGAGGTCTGGAGGCTGGCGAAGCGCCCTGATGCGATGCTGCGCCCTGCTCCACGATGCTGAGTCCAGGCAGAGCGAGGGAGCTGCAAAGGGAACACTCACTTCCCTGGTTTCCCCACAACGTCTCTCTGTGCTCCCCCACCTTCCCACATGAAGAAACTGAAGCCCTGGCAGTTGGAGGCTTGACAGATGTCCCTCACTGGTGGTAAAGCAAGTGACACACCTTCCACTGATGTCACTGGAACCCAACCGATGTCAGGAGGGTCAAAAGCAAACGCAGAACTTCCCCATGTGTTCATTTTCAAGATTCATAGAATTCCAGGGGGAAGAAGTCTGGGGAACAAGTTGCTAAACGTTACCCATAAAAATTCTCTGACAGTGAGATCTGTGAGTGGGACAGTCACTAAGAGATCATTGCACGTGCTGTCCGTCATGCACTTCTTATGAAAATGTTTGCATTTTTCTTAGGCACTTAATAACCATGTTCCTTCTCTAATCCATAATGGTGAATACCCATGACTTGGGTATTTTTATGTAATAATAAAAATGTCAATGATTTAAAGACTGATAAGCTCCGGGCCCCATGCTGGACACTTTATTTCAGTGACTTTTAGGTTCCCCTTTCACCCCGATCCTTTCTTTCAGCAGAGGATTTTCTCACACGCGCCTGGAGTCCACGCAGAACCAGCCCAGCCTGGCTCCTCTCGGCTGGGGACTGAGCCAGGGGCTCACTGCTCCGAGTCCCAGGTATGCTCATGTGTGAAATTTGGATGGAAGCAGCCCTTCGCATACCCAACTACTGTGAAGATACAAGGAGAAAACAGGTTAGAGAATGATTAGCCTAAGACCAAGGATGTTCTCCATCTGCAGAGACAATTAAAAAAAATAGAGATAATAAGTGTTTCTTTCCACTTAGCTATTTTCCACATATCTTTATTATTTACTCTTGATGGGCTGTGAATCTCGCAGGAGCATACACCCTTTCTAGCAGATTTAATTGGGGTGGTAAAGAGGCAGGAATCCTAAGAAAAAGTAATTGCTGTGGGTGTGTAAAAGTGAGGTAAACAGTTCACTGACAGAAAGGCTCCAATGTTTGTTATTCCACGAAAACCTGCCTACTTTATATGCTCTAGCAATACCCTGATAGGTGGGTTAAATGCACCCTCAGAAATTTTAAGTTGTGTTATTAATGTTACAATCCGAGGGCTCTTTTAATATGGAAATGTCAGTAGAAAAATAGGGGCCCATCTGAGAAACTCATCTCACTGGCAATTTGGGAGCAAATATGTATACACACACATATGCATATACATACAAATATATATGTGCAAATAAATACATTTGCACACATAGTATATATATGTATACATACAGTTTATATAGTTTAGCACTAAACTGTATTTGAGTAACACCTAAGAACATGTCCATTTAATTTTAACCAATGGGTTCTGGGGGGTCATCAAAAATCAAACACAATAAAAAGGAACAATATTTATGGCATTTTAAAACCCATCCTATTATTGGTTAGTGCTCCCCTCAATTGTTTAACTGCAATTGGTTCCACTTTTGCAGTGTGGATGATTTTTATACATCTGAGTTAAAAAATAATGCTGCTTGCAAGGGAGAAGTTAAAGACCAAGACAAGGCCTATTAGAATAACATTATACCTTTTTATTCCCTGCACTTATTTTGTCAATTACTAATTATTTCCCTTTTCTTATGCAACAAAATAGAAGCCATAAAATCTTTGATTTAATGAAAACTTTCCTACCAAATAGGTCCTCCAACTCTGCCGACGGCCTGTAGGTAATTTATCTACCTCAGCAGGCAATGACCTTTCGTGAATCATGAGTCATTCCTCACCCCTAATGAGATGGATCCAGATGCCTTCCCACCCTCTGCACGGCCCCCTCCCTCCTCCATCCAGCAGAGGCCGTGCCTCGCCTGCCCCCCAACTTCTCTGAAGTGGGCTGTAATTAGTCCCTGCACAGTGAGCCCGCTCAGGAGCGAAGCCCCCTCCTCTTCATGCTCTTTCCTCTAAGTTGGCTGAACATCGAATGTTCTCTAAACAGCTCTGAGGAGAAAAGGGTGAGTGACGGGAGAGGTCACAAAGTCTCATCAGGAAGGGACGCCCTTCCTGAGGTCCCGGGCGGTTCTGACCGAGTAGACTATGATGTGTACACACAGTTGTAAACTGTATATACATGTTGCTGACTGTGTTACATAACTGTGTGTTACACACCTACCAACTACTTATCGTGGTACGATTATATACGTGGGACATTAATTCTAAAATTTACTGTACGTGCATATACGTATCACTGTCCTACATCCGTAGTGTAAGTGCATCACAGAACAAATACGAGAAGAAAAGTGAGATAAATAATAAAGGTGAGTATAGGTTTTTAACAATTTTTCCCTGATCACTTCTGGATCTTCTAAATATTTCTGCTTTCTGGGGGCCCAAAGAGGGAAGAACGACATGTGTTTGTTTCGGTTCAAAGTGGACGGCTACGCGGCCTTAAGTAACAGTGCAGGGGCCAGGCCACTGTCCGGCCACACAGCGCGGCCCGCCCGTGACAGTGGCAGAGGGCGCGAGGTCGGTCACCACAGATCAGGCCGTCCCCTCACCCCCCTCCTGCCACGTTTTTCATGCTATGCTTTCCACTCACCAGAGAGGTTGCTGCTGGGAGAGTGAAATGTTTGCAGACAAATAGCTCCGGACTTTCTTCCAGAATGTGTGATGAATCTGTCTTCACAACCGGTGGGCGAAGGGAGAAGGTTTGGGAACAAAGCTGCCGGCTGAGGAGGCGCTGGCACTGGCCCTGCAGCAGGCGGAGGCGGCTACTCCCGACCGGCACCAACTCCAGACTGCGGGTGAGAGGGGGCGGGGTCGCATGGGGAGAGCTTGTTCTCACCGAAAGGTCGGAAAGGACGTGGAGGTTGTCTCCCACGTGGATGGAGACGTGGGCACCGCGAAGGGAGGAGCCGCTGCAGCGCGTGGAGGGAGCGCAGGGCGACGTGGGCCCGAACATCACATCTCACTGCGATGGCTTCTTGCTACCACATCCGTGTCACAAAATAGTTGAAAATACCTGGCAAATCAAACTGTGCAGAAAACCCAACTTTGAAATGTTTATTCAGTGTTTTGTAAATTAATGTGTACTCATATAACTAACTAAATGAGGATTCCTTTAAATTATTTTAAATGCATGAGGTTGAACAGACTCTACATGCTGATTTTACGGATGAAATTACATTACTTTTCTGGGGGAAAAAATAAGAGACCTAATTCCTTCTAATAGGATATTTCCTCATAAGATCTAGATATGATTAAATTCCAATAAAAAGAGTCATGGACAAAGAAATTGTAGGGTTTTAAATAACTTATTAAAAAAGTAGAATTCTTTGATGACTTTTGCATTTGAAATAAGCTACCAAGAATATTAAACCCTTGAACCTATCTATGTTTCAGGGAGATAACTGTCCAAAAAAAAGGAAGTTTCTCTCTAGGTGGATAACTGTGCTTTATTCACAGGTCTGGGTCAGGCCGGTGAGCACAGCCCGCCAGGGGTGGCCCTGGGTCCGACGTGTTTCTGTGCCGGTTGTGGGACTTCTGCCCTAAATCTGTCAGGACAGTCCCTCCGGCCACTTCTGCAAAAACCCTTGGGGACAAAATTTATTGTTATGCCTCAAGAGCTTTTTGTTCACCTCCAAAACAGGGGTCCTGGGTCACACCAACGATCGTAGGGAGACAAAATGCTCTATTTTATTAAACAGATCTCTTGATAATTAATCAATGTGGAAATGATTTCCCGTCACACTGACACTAAGGTCAACGTGTTAGGATTTTTTTTCTCAGCCTGTTTCTTTTCCTTCTGAATTGCCCTCGGTGGGTTCCCTCCGCCACCAAGCGAGTGGAGAAAGGCCAATTTATGGCTTTTTAAACCATAATTGCCCCTCTGGGCTTCCACTGGAGAAAGGTTGGGGGGTTTTGTCGGTTGTCAGATAAATACCCGAGAAAATGTGTTCTTGGATCCCCCAAATGCACAGTGGGGCCACGATACCGCGGACAGGAACGTTCCAGCTAGGCCCCCGCAGCCCAAGCGCGGCAGACTGCCTCCACCAGGAGACGGCATTACTGGAGTATGAAGACATGGCTCTGGGTTTCTGTGTTCTGGGGAGAACATGTCTTAATAAAGTAAGCTTTGCTTTGTTTCTCTGTGGAAGGGCAAGAGGACACTGTCCCGCTGAGTTGCTAGCCCTTAGTGCCACGTGCAGACATCGGCCCGACGCTGAGGCTGTTTTTAGCCTCCACAGACCCTGCTCAGAGACCGGTGGTGTCTTAGGGAACCGGGCCCTGGCCACTGAGAGATTAACACCAGACTGGGGACAGTGCTTACGGAAATGCACAGCAAGCAGTTCTTCTGACCTTTCCTTACTGAAAGGTCAGAGAGAAATTGGAGGCGGTCTTCCACTGCTCCCCTCATCTGGGGGCATTCCCTCTGGACAAGAAGTGCCCGTTGCAAATGCCGGACCAGGCGGTGTGTGCTGGGGGGATATGAAGTTGGGTTTGCATTCGAAGAGGGGCTCCGAGGACTGTCTGGGGAGAACGAGGCGGTGTATGTGCACGGCTGAAGCTACCAAACCAGGCGATGCAAAAGCCAAGTGGGCAACGGAATGGCTTAGAAACGCACGGAAGAGCAATGACTGCTGGCAGCAGCGTCGATATTCTCCCTCTGAGCACTAATTACATTATTAAGCAAACAGACCAACACAGGGTCTGCAGGACGGAAACATGTATTTAGGATCCAGTCACTCTCCACTTGGTGGTAAATAACCCTGTGAAACACACAGTTCTTTGCAAACAATATGGGCATTCTCCTTAACTTCTCTTTTACTTTCCAAGTGTGGGAAAGGGAGGCCCTGTTCCCACTCTGGCCGTGCTTGGAGAAGCTGGCCTCCGTACCTTCAGTGCTGCCTGGCTCTCTCAGCTCTTTCTGAGACTGGTGGTCAGAGCAGCCACCATCTCCCCAGGAGATGCAGGGTTCAGGAGACATAGGGAATGGTTTCCCGGAGGGGCAATATGCATCATCTCGTCTACTAACAGTGTGCACTTGCTAATCAGAACTTTGTAGTACATAAGAACCCAAAGCTCTTTGCTCTGGCTAAGTCCAACCTAATGAGGTACATGTACACACAGGGTTGGGAGGACCCAGGAACAACATGGAAAGGATTTATATGCAATGGAAATAAATCTGTTTTACAAAATGCCTAAGAGGAGCTTGCAGAAGAAAATGTGCAGCAGGCCGAGCCAGCCGGGTGAATGGCAGAGAGAATAGAGGCCATTTGAATACTGATGTGGCCCTCACTTTCTTCCATTTCCATTAATGACATGCTCATCAAGGGCAAACAATGGGACCGGCTGCCGGCTCCTGTCACAGTGTGTGGGTGCTGGGATGCCAGGCTGTCATCCCAGGGCTGCATTTAGAGACCCGCACACTAATAAGAAGTGCTCTGTGCCGTCAATGCAGACAGGTGCTTCCGCGGCTGGGACATGCTCCATTCCCTTCCCCCTGAAACCCTCCTCTCCCAGCCCCCCTGACAGACACCATGAAATGCACAAATTAACAGCCCCATCATGTTGGGCTGCTGCTGCCTGCGGTGAAAGCAGAAAATCAAGTTGTCACCCAGGGTGCAGTGATAAAGCCACAGCCTCATTTCTCTGTTGGTGCCCTGTAATAGCAAATGCCAGACAGCTGGATGGATGGGAGGCTTTAGATTAAGGCCTTGATGCACTCTGGCCAGAGAATTAGTCGTCGCTGTTTCCATGTAGATATTCTGTTCAAAACAAACATCTGGAGAAAGCAAAGTTTCCTAGAGCAGACATGCCATTTGCTTCTTCTGGAATCAAAGAAAACAGCTCAGAGCACGTGATATTTCTTTAAAAAAAAAAACAAAAACAGTAAATTTCCAACTCTAAATTTTATTAGAACTTTTATCAAGGACTTCGAGCTAGGCGAGGTTAACAATTCAGCAGAGTCCAGTGCCAAGACCAATCCTGACGCAAAGAACACTTCTCGGGACCACAGAGCCTTGAGCTACTTCCGCCCCGTCCAGCAGGTCCTCCTTTCCCTGGTAGAAAGGACTCGTGCTTTGGAATGTTCAGACTCCCCTGAGTAGCCTGCCTACAGCTGTCCCCAAGCCCAGACCTTCCTATTCCTCACTACGTGGACTGAGGCTGCCTCTCAGAAATAACAGGTACAACTAGCTCTGCCCCTACAACACCACAGCTGGTTGCTCTAGGCGTCCACAGCATGGCCCACCCTGGGCCAGCGGGGCCAAGGGTGCGAAAGGCAAGAAATGAAGGGGCCTGAGCCCTTCAGACTCTAAGGAGTTTAATGACATAATGGCCTGAGAACTTCAACATAAAACAGGAAGAGCAACTAACGAAACTTACAACATAAAACCCCCCTCCTGTCATTTTTATAGTGACAGTAAAACACTTTATTGAATTTATGAGCTACATAATGACTATGAAGAATGTAACTTGAATTAGAACCAACTCGGAAGTATAGTATCAACTATAAACCCTTTTACATTACCTCTTCCCTTCAGCTTTTTCTGTCCTTTTCCTTTTAACCAAGGGACACTGCGCTCCGCAGACGTACGCCCGAGATGGAGTTCACAACTGGCTAATAAATCTTGACTCTTCCTCCAAAGTGCCACAGCGGACACACCTCCAGGGGTAGGACACTCTCTGGGGGTGACCATTCCCTCTCGAAGCCTCTGAGCCATTAAAATGCATTTTAGAAAAGAAACCAGTTTGTCTTTTCTTTGCATAAAGCCTGTCAAATCGAGAGGATCTCTGGGGATATACATCAGGTATTTCAATATCAGTAACTCCACACTGTAATGGCCTTTCCAAAATAGAAACTATGACCCCTTAGCAGCTTATGAAAAGCATCCTCAGCCGAGGGTCCCGGGCAGGTGGGGTGTGGTGCTCAGGCCTCCGATGCTGGGCCTTGGGGGAGGGGTGCAGATCGCCGGGCTAAGCAAGCAGCCCGCTCGGCTGTGTTTTCTGTTTCCATTTTACTCTCTAAGTCTTCTCGTTCCCCAAGGCTTTTTCTGGAGGGGTAATAAAATAAAATGGGTGAAACAAAGCCGTAAGCCAGTTAAGTCTGAGAGACGTGTCATCGCATCTAAAAGGAAGAAACGGACCATTTCCATGCCCGGGGCTGACAGCGATGCCTGAGCTGGCAACAGTGCTATTCCATTTGATTTATAGAATAATGGGGTGACGAATGATGACAAAAATAAACTTTTACTGCACTGAACTGCTCCTTTATTTATGAAATTTGGCCAAGTAGTGAAATCTTTTATCTGCAAGTTGTAACATGGAGTGGGAACGAGCGATTATGGTGTGGTAATAGTGATCCGGCGGTGGAGGCTGAGTCAGTTGGAAATGGATTGAGGTAAAATAACTACCGCACCATGATAAATGTGAACAGCGCTTTGCTGACAGATGATCTAACAGGTGTTCATAACAACTATATAAGAGGATTTATTTATGACCAGCCACAGCCGCCGCACTGTAAATCACCCCAGCAGCTGCACACCGCTGAAACCAAGTCCCTGATGGAGGAGCCGTGCACAAGCCCAAAGAACACAATTCACTCCAGAATCTTAATCATCAAATAACATTTTTTTAGGTAATTACGCCACAGCACAGAAATCATAATTACTTCCAATTAGAAAACTGAGCCATCCAAACTTTGTTTACAAAATATTTCTCTGTAGGCACTGTGGCTTTGATGAGGCCTGCACACCCTGGAGGCTCTGGGGTCAAGGAGAGCAAGCCAGTGGGTGACAGCAGGTGCTGTGTGACGCCAGTAGGAGGCCCTCTCATGGTGACATCATCTGTCAAGGCTCAAGAGTCTACCTTTACTTTGGGAGGACACTGGTTCCCCCAAACTGCCATAGTGCCTTCTCCTCAGCAGCGTGTCTCATTCACAACACAGTCCTGGTTGTCACTCCTGCCTCGACGGCCAGTTCACTGACAGAGGGGACCTGCGCACCACAACGGAAGTGTTAGAAATGGGCATTTAAGGTCAGGGTGAGGAGCCCACCTTCATGTAACCTTTCCTGACGACTCTGCGAAGGCGGAACGTAACACATTTCTCTTTGCAGGCCATCGCCTTCATGATTCCTTCCTGTTATCCGTGAAGATGGCAGATGCCTCCATAAGACAAGAGTCCTCATTCATCACATTGTTTCAAAACAGAATAAAACACACAGCGTGGTTCTCACATGGGGTGATAGATGCTCTTTTGTGGGGAAAATCAGGATCTTGGTTGGGGTGTGATTTGAGAGTTACTTTCCCCTCCCCGGCCAGGTAATGAGAAGGGTGGACGAGGCTTCCCTTCTCGCCACAGGCCCTTGTGGCATCTGCAGGCTTCAAGGGCTGACATGATTGAGTCCACTGGCAGACACGAGTATTGATTAGGTTTCTAAGTACCTCTAGGTCTCAGAATAAAGATGCTTCTACTCTTAAGCCCAGACATTCGATGTCTCTGGCCCTCAAGTTGTAGATGAGAAACCAGTTGTCTTAGAATGTCATTAAAGACAGGTTTGAGTCCATGGTAATGATTCCACATTTGAGTTCTGAAGTTTGCATAATTACCGAGCCAGTTACGAATTACATGTATACATAAGACTGGCTCGAGAGAAACACAAACATGAGATTAAAAATTTCAGCGTCGCTTCAACTCATAATTGCTTAATCAATATCCAATTGCCAATGGAATTTCATATTCTTTAGCTGCTCTGACTATAAGCCCCAAAAGACTGATTTTAGAACCTTCAATGGCATAGGAAATAATTAAAACCCGTAAAATTGGCTTACAAGAAGGACAGTTAAACCAATAAAGCCCTTTTCTCCTTATCTCTAATTCAATGGTTCCCAACCTTTGTTTCCTGCCTCTACACTGTCTGCAGGTGCAGTGCACCCATCTGTAGCATTCCCACATTTGTTTCCCCTGTAAACTTCTGCACACCACAGAGGAGAGGATTGGAGCATGGCTACAGGAGAGAGAGAGAGAGAGACTACTGAGAGGGGAGGAGAAATGAGGGCAAGGAGAGGGAGATGAGGTGTGTGGGCAATGCTGCTTTCTGCAAAAGGTATTTAAAAATCATTTTAAGATACGGCCTGAGTTGAGACCCATATGCTACTTTTCCCTCTCCTACTCCTGGCAACTGTTTTCTAAATGCCACCTTACTTCTAAGACCTACGTAGCTTCACTGTCTCAGTTAAAACTTCTCGTATATTGCTAACCTGATGATAAGTTCTTCCCCTACACGCAATAGCTCTTCCTGGTGTGATATGACAATTAATCACGTAACTGCTTCCCATAAACCACGTGAGCTTTCAAACGGCTGTGTTCCATGTTTGCTGGTCAAGTGATCGTATGAAATCTAAAACATTTTTCCTCAAACAACAAGTGCACACAGTCATTAACATTCAGGTCATATCTTAAAATTCTGCTTATTCCAAACACAGGTGAAAATTGGTAGAAAAATAAAAAGTAATGCTACCAAAATAGGAAGAGAATACAACATTTATTTAGTTGTACCGAATACTGTTTGTCAGCAAGTCACACAAAGAAAGGAGACACAGTATGTGCAGATTCAAAAAAAAAAAAAAAGTCTTCTGTTCCATCTAAGGGCATATTTTCCTATTAAACACAATTTCCATTCATTCAAGAGTGTAACATTATCATAAACTTGATTTTTTTTTGTTCCTCTAAAAATCTCAAGAAGAGAGTAAAAGTGATCATGAAAACTTCCTGAGGTAACTGGTCAAGTTGGAAGGCAGAATGTGGAGAAAAAGAATTAAAAAAAAAATAAGCAAGCACATGATCAGAGGAAAGTAACTGTCTTTCAGTGAACTGACCTTCAGTTGATGAAAGAACAAAAGCAGTGGGCACCCAGTGGCTGGCTGGGCGGGTCCGCCCACCGGTGGGAACGGAGCAGAGGTGGAACTGAAGAGATGGGTTCGGCAAGTCTCTGGAGGCTGTTTAAAGTTGCTGGACTTGGCACCTGAAGTGAGTGGGGTAGGGGAGGAGGTGAGCTGGTGTTAGTATGTAAGCCAAATATGTTTGCAAACCAGGGATCACTAATTTAGCAAACTCTACATCGCCATTTCTTTATTGCCGACTGGATTGTAGATTTCTTTGGGGCACAGAGCGTATCTGTTTTACTATACCCCTGACAAGGGTTAGTGAAGTTCTTTAGCTTTTGCAGTGGATGCAGTCTTTAAATTATAAGGGTCTGTTAACTTCTGAAGATGGAGGTCCCCACTCTTATGTGAAAAGATTTTTCTACCTTTAAAACATGTTCCCTATAGTACCAAAAAGGTTACAAACCGGCAACAGAAAAGGTGAAAGAGCTTAGGTTTACCTTTAGTTGGTCCAACTTTTCTTTTCTTTTTTTAAATCTCTCTTTACATTACTCATCATTCTGCATTCTTGTCTTCTTTCTCTAAGAGTAACTTCTAAATTCTTGACAGCAGAAACACAGGTTAGAGGGGCAAACTTTTTGTGAGCTATGATAAAGTTACTCAAATGTTTGCAAATATTGGGTTGACCAAAAAGTTCATTTAGTTTTTTTCCATAAGATGGTTCTAGTAGCACTTAGTTGTATTTAACTTCATTTGAAACAATTTTGTTAGACTGTATTGTGACAGCTGTCACATCATGCACATTAAAAAAGAAAAGAAGTATCAAAATTGAATTTTTTGCAGCCATTTCAATATTGAAGATGGAAGAAAATAAACAACATTTTCAGCAAATTATAATAGCTTTATTATTTCAACACAGGTAAAAATGCAACTGAAATGCAAAAAAAGATGTGTGCAGTGTATGGAAGAGGTGCTGTGAAGGATTGAATGTGTCAAAAGCATTAGGCAAAGTTTCATGCTAGAGATTTCTCACTGGACGATGCTCTATAGTCGGGTAGACCAGTTGAAGATGATAGCAATCAAATCAAGACATTAACCGAAAACAATCAATGTTATACCACGTGAGAGAGAGCTGACATACTCAAAATATCCAAACCAATGAAGTTATTGGTGAAAATAAAAAATGGGCCTTTTATTTTAAAGAAAAAACTAAATGGACATTTTGGCCAGCCCAATGGTTATCAAGAAGGGCACATATCCAATTTCAATTTGATAAATTCTTTGTCATGTCTCTTTAGAATAAAAACATTCTCCTTATCTATAATAAATAAAGCTAATCTATTTTGATAGTAAAAATGAGGCTTAGTCTGAAATATACAAGGAGAGCCATTTTTCAAAACTGGTGTACATAAAATGTCCCATTAAGTGGACATTAAAATGAAAAAATATAGCTAGAATTAAGAATTCAACATTGACTAACTCGACTCAATGGAACAATTTAAAGATAATCATGGGTTATGACAAAGTTAAAGGAAATATGAGACAAAGGAATTCTGAATCACTGTACAAAAAACCCCAAGAAAACTCAAACCTGAACCTTGGGACTTTGGTCATTTTTCTAACTTCATTTATGTAAAAAATGGTTTAATGATATTAAGCTATTGATATTAAAGTGGTTTCAACTGTTTGCATACTACATTATATTACTGATATAATAAAGATTTTAAATCTAAGTTAGCAGACAAAAATATTATCTCATGCAAAAGTAAATCTGTAACACAACTGGAAAATCTACCTGGTTTGAAAATGCTTTTTCTTTCACTAAACCTGATTGCTTCTCTGCATAATATACAACAGTCAAAATATTTACTTTAGGTTAAAGAAAACTCCAGCATATAAACCTCAGGATTATAAGTAATTTCCCATTGAAAATGCAAAGACAAATGCTCTTCATACGCTAGTTTATTCATCTTATTATCAGAGATAATTTCATGATGGCTGATTATAATATCAGGAAATTCACACAACAAAATTTTGCACTGACTTTGTTGTTTTGGCATTTAATTCTAAAAAGTATGCTATCCCACTCTTACATGCCAAGCTGAGAGGCCATTTAGACTATTTCTAGGCAAATTTTTGCTTACTGCAGGAAGGAGGGTGATTCTCAAATTAAAAAATTTCCAATTCATGTCCATCATTGTTGAAAAGAGAGGGAAGACAAGAAGGACAGAAAAAGTAGTAGGACAGAGAAAATGCCACATGGATTCAAGAGTTGAGATAACTGACAACAAAATGTATGTTCTTTGGTTAGCAAAGCGAAGAGGGAAAGGACTGCACACAGGACAGATACACACTAGCATTCTAAAGCAGGAGACAAGAATGTCAAGAGTGTGTTCTCCCCCCACCGCCAGATGGAAGGGCTATTATTATAAATGAAAGGCAGCAGTGGTGGATGCCAGGCACTTTTGTTGTGTGCCAGATTCTGAAGTCCAGATGTAAGCAGGTTACCCCTGGGACAGGACGGGCTTTAGCTCCCGCAGCAGAACAGAGCCAATCACAGTCCTCTCAGTGTTTATGATGAGCTGTGCTGTGGAGCCCTCCTTGAGTTCCACTGTGACTAGCATCAGTGACCCACTGTGCACAGTTTTAGCTGCAAACCTGTGAGAAAAAAAGAGAGAGAGACCTTTTATCATGAGGGGGAAAAAGAAGATGGCATACATTCAAATAGATTTAAAACAACTCTTTTCTCCCCTCAATAATGTACTACAGGTTCCCTACTGCCAAAAACCCAGAGCCAAGTGTTCTTCTGAAAAACACAATGAACTGCCCAGCACCATGCTTACTGCGGCAGGTCACTTTGGTGCATCTGTAGAACAGAACTGGAAAAGGAGGTCTATTTTACTCATTAGCTGAACAAGAGATACATGTGGACAATTCTCCATTTCTATAAGTTGGGAATCATTCATTTATTTGATGATTTAACATTTTACCATGCATAGGGTCATTTAAAATAAACCACCATATTTTTATTTTTAAACATGTTAAGAAAAGATACCTTTCTCAAAGAGCTTGAAATTTTAATTCCTTACATCTGAAAATGATTACACAAAAGTTAGATAATTTAACGTGCATTACAAAACTCTTAAATTGCAATGAATTAACTCATGTTGCAATATTCAAATTCAATCTGTAATCCTAATAACATGTAACAAAATCACATGACAGCCAAGTGGAGTATCACACCCCTTTCATCTGAAATTTTCTATATGTTCAGAACATTAGATCCTTCTTTTTGCTTTAGAGTAGAGGAAACTTGAAGTCTAAGGCTCCATTACTAAATTCCAAGACATGAAGAACCTACTAATTACATGGAATTAAAAGCAAAACTAGCCTTTTAAGCACTGCAAGAGACTGAAAAGCCGTTGGAGGCACAATGAGCTTGTGTCAATCCTGCTAATTCTGCACGCACAGTTGAGCCCCAGAGACGTGGAGGAAGAGGACGGGGCACTCCTAGGCCTCCATTTTCCACATGGTGCATGTTCCAGACATTTTTTGGGGGAAGGGATTTGATTGCAGGGATGACTGGAGAAAAACAAAGTTGCTGCACATGAGCTTTTGAAAACACTAACAAGTGTAGAGCAGGTCTGTGACCTGCTGTGACCCCACTTTGCAGGGCCAATCCCCTTTCCCCTTTCTGTGTGACACGTGTCTGAATCTGAGCCATCTGCCTCAATTTGCGCAACATCTCCAGCCACAATGGCACCCAGTTAGGCCTGACAACAGCGCACAATACATAAAAATGAAGCTGCTGTGCTGTCAGCACGCTGAGGTCTATTCGAGAGCAAACCAACTGGTCAGTGTCTCATGTCTGACAATTAGCATGAGCCCTGCACGGAGCCCACAGCGTCCTCAGGGACCTGTTTAATTACCATCAACATAAAAGAGGGAGTTTATCAGGAGACACTCAGAAAAACTTCACACCCGACTTAATTAAAATATTAGCCACTTAAGCAGGAAGCAGATTCTCTTTAAATGAAAATTTCTTTTTTGAGGTTTTTTTAAAAAAATGACATCAAGATCTCATTACACATTAGATTCTTCTCTCTTTTTTTGAAACCTAACAAGCCATTTTTGGCCAAAAAAGAATCATAAAAATCAGTCTTCCAATCATAATTAGAATACTGCATCAAAAGCAAAACAAAAATGCTAATTTTATTCAATTGAAAATATTATCAACACCTTTAAGTTGAGTTTTAAAATGGTAGCTAGTGGGTTGTTGATCAAATATGTCAGAAACCTTCCCGGTTCTTTATGTGTGTCTGTGCGTTCTCTCCAACACACTGAGACTTGTAAGGAGTCAGACAAAGCCGTTCTTCTACTGAGGGAAGCAACTGTACCTGTAGTTTAAGAACAGAAGTCACAACCAGTGTTTTAAAAGAGGTTTTGTAAAGCTCTTAACACGCATATTTATCTTATCTTCAGTTACCCACACATTAAGGACAGGCACCCCAGTTCCATCTTTGAGAGCATATGAAAATGACAAACCCCCCACGACCCCTCTTTGCTATCACCCATGGAGGTTTATGCACGTCTTTTGTCTGAGGACTGGAGGTTCCACGCTTTGGGAAGATGCCATTTCTGTGCTTCTGATAAACCTGCCACCAAATGATACTAGGTGGCTCCACTGTCCCACTCATTTATGGAACTTCCCCCCAGAGTTGGTCATCACCCAGTATTTCAGCAGTGGCTCCCATTTCTGACAGGGTTATAATTATGTAAACAGTAGTCTTATTAGTCCCTTTATTTACTTAACACTCTGTATCTTGGGACCACAGAGAAGGAGATTATGTCTGAATAGGAACACAAAAGCACTGCTTGAATTTCATGGTGACAGAGCCTCAAGACACCTTTTATCTCTTTTCTATTACAAACTTAAAGTTGATGTTAGAGTAACACAAACTCAGGAGTCATAAATGTCAAATCTGATGTGAGTCTGATTACAAAGATTAGTGTTTTGTACATGTTTTGGAAATCCTATTAACACAAAATTCTCAAAACCATAAAGAAGAGGGGCACGGATGAAACAGTGCATTTGCTTATACTGTGGTGGAAACGTGCTAAACAAATCATCCCAGCAACCAGACCTGGTAGCTGGCATAAAACTAGGTCTCTGTCCTGGTGGACACAAATGGGGGGCGCAATGCTGTGAAGAAGGCTGGAAGATCAGATGTTCTCACACTCTTGCTTCCTAGTTCAAAGGATATATTTAATTGGAACACAGCATGATCACAATTGGTTTGTTTTGGTCCACGGAAAACAAAAAACACTCCCCCAAATTAAGCCAGTTAGTGAATAACAAATAGCTTGGCTTTTGGGTATAAGAAACATTGATTATAAAGACAACTTGGGTCAAATACTTATAAATTGCATTTAATGGCCAACATCAGAACCTTTGTACTTGGCCTCAAACTAAGATCACAAGTGACAAAATTTTTTTAGGAGGCATGTGACATTCTTGATCATAATGACAATAGCAGCTACCACTTACTAAGTGCTTTATGGGTACTACGTATGTACGTCATCACTTGTGTTAATTCATTTGATTCTATGAGGCAGACCACTTTCTAGGTGAGGGAACTGAGGCCCACAGAGGTTGAGGAAACTGCTCAGGGACTCTCGGCTCCCGCAGGTTCCAGGAGGAGTTTTGGACCCAGGTATTCTAATTCTAGATCCCACAGGTTCTCCTAATATATGCAAACATGCACTCTTAACATCTGCTTTTTACTTTTTTTGTTTTGGTATTTTTCATAGTCAATAAATTAAAGAGAATCCAGTTCCTTCTTATTTACCTAATACAAATATAATCTATTAATATTCCCAAAAAATTTAAAAAGGAAGATTTTTCCTTTCAAAAATTGTGCACCAGACTTTCTAGTATTTTGTAATTCAAAGTACCCTGCATGATGCTTTGTCATAACATATTTTAAATTCCTGCCTTTAAAGGTTTAAAATATTTAAAAATCTTCCACCAACCACTCCCTCAAAAGAGACGCCAGCAGTGACAGACGTGACACATCCTACACGGAGCTGTGACTCGGGGAGGGACCGCTGGGAGGCCAACCGGCCTCCAGCACCAGCAACACCACAAATGAGGACAAACACGTGCATGACGGTTAAAGATGCTTGGCCCATGTACGACGGGCTCCGTGGTACCGAGAGGATACCATTTGGTATTTTTCACAATTCATTTTCATCCTACCACCAAGCACTTGCTGTTTGTGATCACCGACTCAGAAGATAAAACTGTTTGGATATATCTGTATTTCATCTTATTAAATGTCTCTTTGTTTATTAGCTCTAGCAATTGACATTTAATCTTTGACACTGAGAATTCTTGAGATTAAAGAAAAAGAAAAAATAAGCTGGCTGCCAAACCTAAATGAAAGTATGAACCACTCTTCAAAAAAAGTTTATTTATCTTAACTTGACAGAATTATGTAAACAACAGGTCAAATAACAACAGATTTGAACAAATGTATTAGCTATGAAAACATGCATTATTTCCTTGTCCACTTAAATCATGCTTTTTTTTTTTTTTTAGATTAGTGAGAAATTAGCTATGGACCACAAACACTCTTTGTCAGGAGGGAAGAAATCCTACAACTTAATGGTTGTCACTGGCATGTTAACAGGACAACATGAATTTAAAGATATCTGAGAGGCTGCATCCACCTCCAGGGTGTTCACAAACAAAAATTTTTTTTGCGCAGAATCCCATTTGCTACACTTAATACAACAGTTCTGAGACATGCTTTTTCCTCTCTTGGATAGACTTCCTGGTCTCTGATTTTTCTATTCTGAGTTCAATTTTCTCATGTTTTCTGTTCTACTGGTCACCAGAAGCTGTGACAATGGCCCACTCAGGCTAAAACTTTTTTTTCTTACTCTGTACATGAAGCCTTCAATTACTGCCTGCTGAAGCAGACAGAATCCTATTAGTAAGAAAGACGATCACGGGATGCAGTGCCCTGCCCTAGCTGTATAAAAATAATTAGCCCAAAGTTGACAAATGTGTAATGAAGTCTCACAATGATTATATGTAAGAAATACTAGTTTGAATAAGCCTCCTAACATCAAATACCTAAGCATGGTCATTTGGAGTACTATTTTTTAAAAAATGAAAATGATAAATCCTTATTACTTTGAGTTAATAAAATAGAACATTTTAAACAGGCAGAGTTTGTGAGCTGTAAAAATTCCATTTTGTTGACTGTAAAATTATATTTTAAACTTAAGCCCATTACACTATTAAATTAATATAGAGAAAAAAATTTACATGTAACTCAAGTTTAGAAAATTTATCCAAAGCAATGTATTTTTCCATTATTTTAAAAAAAGTCAGCCAGCAGTATTGCAGTATTTTACTTTAACATTCTGATAAGAGTTAAAACAAAAAATAAGGTACCATCATAATTCAGAACCCTCTATTTTCTACTTTAATGTTTAGAGATGGTATAAAAATTATTCCCCACACTATGTGGTCAGCGATGCCTTCTCTGCCTTTGTGCAGGAGAGCTACAAAGTCAGAGTGCACCTTCTCAGAGAAGACGTGAGACAGTCCAGTTGCTCCAGAGCATTTTTGGTTTGTTTGGTGGGGG